TGCTGCTGATTCTCTTGGAGAAGCTTCTTGTGCTGGTTTACCTGAAATGAACTCAGCTGTTCTCATCGTCGGAGGTGCTTGGGAACTCACTGTCCCTGAGGATGGCTGTGGTTCTCTTCAGGGGAGCCCTGCTCCTTACCTTGAGCTTTGCTTCCTGGCTCCGGTACAGATCCCTCAGCCTGCCGGCACAGACCCTTCATCCCGCCGGCACAGACTTTTGAGATTCCACCACTGAGCTTTGGGCCTTCCCTGTGTAGATCCTGGATACAGATGCGCATGGGACATTACTGTGGACTCCAGGCCTCTGGCTGGTCTCATGGAGAACACTGCCATGGGCTCTAAGTCTTCAGCTGGACTTGTGCAGGACGTTGCTGTGGGATCAAGGCCCCCGCTGGATTCTTGGGGTCTCTAGTGTGTGGACAGATCGGTCACACCCTTTTGCATTTCACTCTTTGGGTGAATATTATAGAATAATCCTGTAAGTTATGTGTCCTGTATTAAATTGTTTTCCTTGTAAACTCTGACTACGACAGGCTTGCACCACTGCACCCAACAGGATGCAGTTTTATTAGTCTTGTCTTTTGACCATGCACCCAGCTGTTTTTAGCTTTCCCAGACTTAGCTGGTCTTGTCTCCCCTCTTGTATTCCATGCTTCAAAAACCTTTAAAAAATCATCCTAGGAAATTATGCGGTGTATTGTGTAGGAAAGATAAATGGAAAACCCATAATTATTAAAGGTAAGTAAATGAATGGATATTTTCAGGACTATTCTATTTTTTTTGTCTTTGAAATTTTCTATAGAAAAAATTAATAATTTCTTTTCAACAAATGTTTGACTACTGCACCAAAATGCCCATAGGAAAGTGGGAAAAGGAGATTATTATTCCTCTTATCTGATCAATTAATTATTCAACTATACTGCGTTTCCTTTCTTTTTGTTGTTGTTGTTCTTGGTTGCTTGCTTTTTGTGGTGTTGAGGAGCAAACCCAGGGGAGCTTTACCGCTGAGTTACATCCCCAGCCCTTGATCTTGCTAAATTTCCCAGGTTGGTCTCTAATTTGCAATCCTCCTGGCTCAGCCTCCTGACTAGCAGGGATAATGAGGTGTATGCCATGGTGCTTATAGGGAGCTTTTAAAAACTGAAATCTATGGCTCTCTAGGTATGATGTTTTCATGAGTGTTTGACAGTTTTTTCCCTTTCCTGATCTCTGAATTCATCTTGATTTTGGTCGAAATGTATTTTTTTATGAAATGGGAGAGAAACAATTCTAAAGGTTTAAAAGGCATTGTGTGTAAAATGGACTTTTAGGGGTTATCTCAACTCTGAATGTAACATTCACATGAACAAGGGATTAAAATAATACTAGCAAAATACTCACAATTTTATTTACTAGAATTTAGACAAAAAAGACAAAATCTTTACCAGGAAATCCCACAAAGGGGATTCTTTCCTGTGAGAGAAAAGGATGAGGAGTGCTCTGTTGGTGATTAACAGGGTCTGGCTGTTGACTAAGTGCAAAATCTTGGCTTTTAGTTCATCAGTGACCGGAAGTGCCAAGAGGAAAGTATCATTTATTAAACTCATTGATACTTAGACCTGCTCCCATTAGTCCTAAGGGTCCAGTTGCTCTCCTATGGGGCAGGCAGATACTGCAGAGTCCAGGGGCCATCAGCGTTGGCGCTACCAGGATAACACTCGGAGGCTGGTCACCTAGATGGCGATTTATTACATCGTTTACTGCCTGACTTGATTAGCTCTCCTTTCTCCACTCTTTCTCCTTCAAGCTTTCTAGAACACTTGCCTGCTAAGAAGGGGCCAAGGTCAAGTCAGTCTAAGGAAGCAAAGAGCACAGTGCTCTGGCGACCTTTCCTTATAAGCCTAACTGTTTTCTGGACAACTCAAGTCTCCCTGACTATGATGATAACGGGGTGTCTGAATCTGTCGGAACAGAGGGGGAGGTTCTTCAGTAGAGACTGGAGCTATGTGAGCAGAACTCCTGTGAATAAACTGAACGGAAATCTATCAGATTATAGCTTTACTGAGGGCAGGGAGGAGTAACACGTTCCATTCCAAAAACATTTAGCACCATGCCTTGCATGTGAGAAATGTTCATGAAATATTTTCCAATATTGAACTGACATTAACTTATACTACAGAAACGTTATAAATTAACATCAAATTTGTATTACTTGGTGGTGCATAATTTTTGATAAAGCCTTCTAGCTCTAACTGGCAAAGTCAACAAAGGCCCAGAAATGAGTTTCAAAGTGATATAAAACTTCTTTATATTCTGTCTTCCATATATGTCCGGGTTGTTATACGAAATTTACACGGGAAATAATATCCCCTTACTTAAAAGAGCACACACAAAGCCTACACTATAGCATGAAAAATAAATTTTATATTCCAACTTCAAACCATTTTTTGAATCCCAGCTCCCTTTCTGAGTTTATTATGGTTTTGGAATTATGTTAGATGCACGGTATAGACAAATGTGCTACAGTCCAATAAAGTATAAAACACGTCTGTATCTGCCATAATTTATATGAAAAACGTCACCGTCAGTCTAAAGGAGAGAGGGAGCCGGATGACCGAGGGCTTGGCAGGCAGCTGCTTCTTTCTCTGAATCACCTGCATGAGAAAATGGATCTCCTTTCCTCTTGAAAAGTGTAAATCCTTCAGATAGTCCTTTCCTTTTCCGAGATTTCTCTCCAGTTTTATCACTGAGCCATAGGCTTACCACGAGAATCGGGCTTTAAAAGTTACCCAGGACACCCAGGCTTCCCATGTGACGCGTGGGTCTTTGCTGGAGGTTGGGCGACTGGGACACTAGGCTTAGGACACGCTCAATTACAGAGAACAGGAAATCAAAACCCTGCTTGCTAAATCTATGAAGGTAGACTTGGATTCGGAGTTGTCTGAGACTCAAAAACCACCGAAGGGCAGCCTGGAGAGACCCTGCCGTCCGCCTTCCTCCTCCCCGCCAGGCCGCGGGCTTGGAAGGCGGCGCTCGCCCAGCCGGGCGCCTCTCAGCTCTGCGCGCCCGAAGGAACTTTGCCAGGACCCCGCACACCGGCCGCCGGGGCCCGCGGCGCGGCAGGGAGCGGCGAGCCGA